AAACGCTTTATAATACGCTAGAGCTAGTAAAAACTTTAAGCCCTTATTATTATTATTATTATTAATAAAAATAAGGATGTTAAGTATTTTATTTAATTTAATAAAGGGTTAATAAATTAAAACTAAGGTATTTCGTAACTACTCTATACCTCGAAGTAAGTAAAATACTACTTAGTACGTAATAAGCCTCGTTATTATTATTATACTTATTATTATTAATACTAAATATAGAGCCGTTTTTAATTATTAAATACGCTTATTAAGCGTAATATTAATATAAAGGCCTTTTTAACTACTTTTAGTATTTTAAAACTTTATAATAATTATATTAAAAACTTAATATTTTTTTAATTATTTTATAAAATTATTTAGTATTATTACTTAGTTAGCTAATTATAAAGACTAGTACTTACTTAAATTAGTACTAAGTAATACGTATTTTTAGCTAGCTTTTAATTTAAATATAAAAAGTAATATTATTATTTTTAAAATATAAGTCTTAAATAAACTTAAAATTAATAAAGTACTACTTAATATTATTAAAAAGTCCTTTATTATAAATTTAAATAAGGGTTGTATTTATTAATAATATAATAAAAGAAATTAAAATAATTATTTTATATAATAAAGAATAAAAACTATTTAATAAGTTAGTTAGTATAATTTTAGGTTAAATATAAAGAGCTTAATAATTTTATTAGTACTTATTATATTCTAATATTACTTATATAAATAATAGTTTTATTAAAAATTATTAATATAAAAGGATATTTATCTTCTCTAGCTCTTATCTCGGATTATAATATTTAATAGAGGGGTATATTCTCGGATTATAATATTTAATAGAGGGGTATATACGTATTTAGGGGTATTAATTACGTAATTAATTAATTAATTATTATTTAGTATTATACTTCTTTTTAATAAGTAATTATTTATTATAATAAGTTTAATAAATTAAAATATTATTGTTCTATTTCTAAAAAGGATTTATAATAAATATTAAATAATATTATAAAAGGAACTCGAGGTAGGTTAAAACGCTATTATATTAACCTAATAAATATAACTTAATATAAAAAGAAAAAATAAACTAATAAGTAGAATCTAGGGCGCTAGGTTTTTAGGTTTAGCGGTCTAGTGGTTACGTAACCGTAGGGGTCCCTTGGTGCCTGAGGCCCGGGCGTATAGAAACCTAGTGCCTAGTACCGTAATAAATATTATAAAAATATATTTAAAAACGAGATTTATATATAATATAAACTTAAACTAAGTTTAAAAATAAACTTTTATAACTTTTTAATAATTAACTTAATATTAAATTTTATAACCGTTTTTAGTTATTTTTATTAAGAACCTTTTAATAAGAATATAATTAATTATTAAAGCCTTATTTATTTTATAATTTATAAATATAGTTTTTAAAAGCTATTTACGATTATAATACTATTTACTTAGTTATCGTAGCCTTAACTTTTATTAATATACTTATTACGACTAGCTAGCTATAATAATATATATTATATTAAGTTAAAAGTATAATAGTACCCTATAATATATATAGAGTTTTTATTAAAAAGTACTTATATCTAGCCGTACTACTAGCTATTTATTTTAAAAGTTATTTATTTTTATATATTACTTTTACTTATTACTTAGGCAGTTCTTAATATTAGTTATGTAGTATTAATATTTGTTTTATTTTTACCTTTACTAACTACTCAGGTAATTCTTAATATTAGTTATATAGTATTAATATATAATATTAATAGATACTCTTACTATCTCATTAGACTATTTTTAATAATTTTCTTCTACTTTTTAAACTTTCCTCTTATAAAGTTTATAATTACGGATTAATAATAATATTAAGCGCGATATTACTATTTTATAAACTACTTATTTCCCTAATAGAGCAGTCTACTAATAATAATATTAAGCGATATTACTATTTTATAAACTACTTATTTCCCTAATAGAGCAGTCTACTAGGGCCGTACTATATATTACGTATTAAGGAAAACTAGGTATATTGTGCTCCGTACTTAATTATTAACTAAAATAGTAGTTAACTAACTCGACTATTATCTCCCTTTTATTAATAGCTCCTAACTTTCTACTACTTCTAGCCGTCTATAGGGCGAGCTTTACCTACTTTAATACGTATAGGACCTCCTAGTACTAGCCCGCATAAGTAGCTAGGTCTAGTACGATCTCTTTTTTTATATAAGTATTATTATTACCCGGGGGGGCTTATAAGAACTATTTAAGGTTAGTACTAGCTTATTACCCTAACCCTATACTCTTCTAGCCCGCTTATTATAACTATTATAACTAAGCTAATATTAATATATTAAATCTTAGTATTTATATTAACTTAGTTATTTATAGTACTTATAATATTACTTAGCTAAATTCTATATTACTAAAAAGTACTTTATTAGTTCTTAGGTATACTTATATTAGCTATAATAGCTATAGTATCGAGCTAGCCGAAGTAGGCGCCTAGCCCGAGAGGGGTAGACTTATTAATAGGTATTTTTAAAATAGGTTCTCATTGAGGTAATATTTTAACTAGCTAACCTCTTAATTAGTAATTTAATTAGTTATTTAGGTAGTAGTTTATATATTAATAAGTTTGTTTAGTAAGTTTATTTAGTAAATTTGTTTAGTTTAAATAAAAAGTAATTTTAAGTAATATTAGAAATAATAAGGATAAAAAGAATCTTTATAAGCTTTAAAGAGTAGTAAATATTAGCCCTTTTAGCCCTTTTTCTAAAAACCTCTACGTTATTATTAAAGTTTAGAACCTCTATAGTTAAGGGTAAGTAACTTCCTTATTAAAAAGCTATTTTTAACCTTTATAACTAACTATTATAACTAATTATTATAGCTAACCTTTACTATTAACCTTTTTAACTAGCGCTATTACGTAATAAAAGGGTAGCTTATTTATCCTAAATTAAATAGCAGTTTTCGTATTAAAATCACTATATTATATTAGTACGTACTTAGGGCATATTATATATATTATATAATTAATATGTATTATATAATTTCTTAAAGCATAATCCTATTAAGGTCAATCTTTTATACTTATAAAGCCAAAAAAAAACCACTATATAAGCTATTTATTTAGCTAAGTTTACTACCCTTTAGGTAATAGTAGCTTATAACGGTAGTATTAGAAATACCCTTATTACTATTATTAAGAATAATACTATTTTATTAATATCTAGTATACGTTAACTTTTATATAGTGGTTTTTTTCCGGCTTTATAAGTACAAAAGATCGACCTTAATAGGATCACGCTTTCAAGGGAAATTATATAATACGGTATACTTTTTAACTATATAATACGCATAATATACCCTAAGTACGCGCTTAACGTAATATAGTGATTTCGATACGAAAACCGCTATTTAATTCGGGATGGGTAAGCTGCCCTCTTTAGCTGCTTGCTAACGACAGGCTGAGCGACATACTCACGCGGCGGCGCCGGCCGGAAAGGTCGACGGCAGAGGTCGGCCGTAATGGTTAGCCGCAATAGTCGGCCGCAAAGGTCGGAGGCGGCCCTCACGTTAACTTTTATATATTATATATTTATTACTTCGTTTTTTTTATTAAAGTTAAAAACGCTACTTCTTTTGCTATTTATTATTGTTATTATTATTAAACTATTTATTTTAAGAATACTTAAAATACTAAGATATTAATAACTCGTTAATTTATAAGGATATCTTAGGGAGTATACTTAGTAATTCGATTTTATTAATATTATACTTAATAATCCTGATTTATAAAAGGATTACTTAGAGGAGTATAAGCTAGTTATTATTAATTTAAAAATCTAAAACGTAAATACCTTTATAGTTATTATTATCGTTAGTACTGAACTTATATAATATAGCCTTAACGAAATATTTAATTAATTTTAAAATATAATTAATATTTTAATATTATAATAATAAAATAAGAGGTTTAAAGAAACTAAAAAGAAATTTAGAGTTATTAAAAGGCTAGAAAATAGAAAGTAGTTTTTAGCTATTCGGAAAGCGATTAATATATTATATTATTAATAATAGTTTAAACTATATTAATAGCTATAGCTGGCTATTATTAGTTATAAAGTTTATTAAGTAATATATATAATAAAAACTTAATATTAACCCTCATAAATTAGCTTACCTATAGGGCGAAAATAGCCCTATTAAGGGGCCGACCTCAGGGACGGTATTAATATATAATATTAATAAATACTCTTATAATTTTATTAAACTATTTTTATAACTTTCTTTTTTAAAAACTCTTTCTTTATAAAGTTTATAATTATAAATTAATAGTAATATTAGGTAAGGGATATTATTATTTTTAAACTTATTTATATATTTAGCTAAGTTCGTAGCCTATCTAAGTAATAGTAGTTTATAATAGTAATATTAAAAATACCCTTCTTATTATTATTAAGAATAATACTAACTTTATTAATATTTAGTATACGTTAATTTATACTTATATTTATTAATTACCTCGTTTCTTTTATTAAAGTTAAAAACGCTATTTCTTTTATTTATTATTATTATTATTATTATTAAATTATTTATTTTAAATATATACTATTAATATACTACTGGGCGCTAGCCCTGTGCGCTCGAGCCTCAGGCACCGAGCGGACCCCTACGGGTCACGTGACCACTGGACCGCTGAGCCCAAAAGCCCAGCGCCCCAGATTCCGCCCACTGGTCTACTTTTTCCCTCTTCACGTTGAGTTACGTCTATTAGGTCAATATAGCAGCGTTTCGACCTGCCTCGAGTTCCCTTTCGTGACACTACTCAACGTCTACTACAAATCCTTCTCCGGAGACGGAACGACAATATCTCAACCTATCAAAACCCGCTGTAGCGAACAGCCACCCTTGTCGAGAAGAAGCGCGACGCCGAGCGACAGCCGACCGATCAACCGCGCAGAGCAATCGACACCCCCCCAAACACACACCCCCTCCACTAGACGCCATGGTCCGAGACAAGAGCCAGGGAGGACAGATGTCCCTCCGTACCGATGACTTCCAGCAGGGCCGCCGCCTGTACGAGCAGCGCCAAAGCATGATAGGCGCTGACGAGACCGCCGAGCTCCCTGTGTTCGACCCCGAAGTCGACCTCGCCGACCAGCCTGTCGAGCAGTTTCTGCCCTCCATCGCGCAGAATGACCGCCTCGATTTCCTCCGTCGCATCACCAATGAGCACGCTGCCCCCGTTCAGATTCGCGACGAGGGACTCTTCGGCGACACCAAGCAGCACCCCGCCAACCTCAAGTTCATTCAGGATCTATACGCGAAGAACGACGGTGTCGCCCTCCACGCCTGGATCGAGAGCCAGCTGAAGATGCGCATCGCCCAGCACCAGCTCGAGCAGGTGCTGGTCTCCATGATCGGCCAGCTGAGTAACAGCACCGAGCGGCTCTACGAGATGACCAAGGAAAACATTGAGGTCTCCAGCACAGCCACTGCAGAGCTTCGAAGCACCAAGAAGCAGCTGGAGAAGGCCCTCCGCGCCAACGCTGCGCTCGATGAGCGCGTTCAGCAGCTGGAGAACGGTTCCGTATCCAGTATTGACAACAGCGAGCACGGCGGTAACGGCGAGGCCTACCGCGCGCTCGAGCAGCGTCTTGCCCGCCTCGAGGTGCAGGGCAGCCGCGAGGTCACCCCGGCCTCGGCCTACCAGCCCTCTACCGGATCAAACAAGATGCCCGACGTCCCTACCTTCACGGGTGACGATGACGACAAGGGCCTGAAGTTCCCCCACTGGCTCTGGCGCATCACGAAGCGTCTTGAGAATGCGAACTACAGCACTGACGGCTACCGCCTGGAGTATGTCATCAGCAAGATCGGCGGCAGCGCGGCCGAGTTTATCCACCCTATGCTGGCTGCCAACGAGATCCAGACTGCCGACCAGCTGCTGCACGAGCTGAAGTCGGCCTACACCAGCCCGACCGCTGTGGATGATGCTGGCCGAAAGCTGGACACCCTCACTATTACCCTCAAGGATGTCCACCAGAAGCGCTCTGTGTTCGCTGAGCTCGCCCGCGTCAGCAAGCTCCCTGAGTCCCAGTGGAAGCGCCGCTTCCATGACAAGCTCCCCATGTACCTCCGAAACCAGGCTGTCTCTAAGTACCTGGATGAGGACGCTACTTTCTGGAAGTACACCGAGTACGTCGCCCAGCTCGCCAACGCCATGCAGCCTCCGGCGGCTAGCGACAGGGTCCAGAAGAACACTGCACCCACCCGCACTGTCCCCACCGGAAGTGGAGGAAGCAGCACCGCCAAGCAGCATACTCGCGGCCGAACCACTAACCGCGAGACCATCCCCAAGGCCCTGTACCAGAAGCTCAAGGATAGCGGTGCCTGCTTCATCTGCGGCGAGTCTGGCCATGTCTCCCGGGACTGCCCCAAGAAGCCCGCTGCTGCCGTGGCCGCTGTGGACACTACTGTCAGCGAGCAGCGTGTCTCAGACTCGGAAAACTAGGCCCCCTGGCACAAGCAACCTCCCAGCCAGGGGATAAGTGTGAAGAAGACGGAAGATTGGCGATTCATTCAGTGAACCTACAGAACCTCATAGGAGGGCAACCTCTTGAGATCGAGCTCGTGATAGCATTCAATGGATATGGAATTCGCCTGAAAGCCTTACTTGACACGGGAGCTAATGGGTACGGATTTGTGAACAACCGCGTGACCCCATTACTGCGAGATTTCTGCGCAGCCCCATCTAGCAAATTACTACGCCCTATCCCTGCTGCCGGATTTAACGGCGAACGATTGGAAGACGCCAGTGTGGTGTGGACCACTAACTTACACATTGACCGTCGAGTCCTTCTAAAGACACCCCTACTCCAACTCAACACAGGGCGCCACGACCTAATCCTTGGACGGAAGTGGTTCGAGTACCATGGAGTTAACCCGAATGTGCGCCGCAGGCGCCTAATGTGGCCCGAAGAATTACCGCCACAAGACACCCCGTCTACTATCGTCCGGGACATAGAAGACCTATGTGCCCCTGAGGTCATTGACGTACAGCACCAAATCGATGCCGAACGACGGCAGGAAATGTTCGAGATGGACATGGTACGGTACGACGAGCAACTACAGAGGAAGCGGACAGTGCCTAGGCCCACCAAGATACTCTGTCGACCACAGGGCTCGCGAGACCGACACACACAGCGGTCTGACGACGCCGAAAATGCCCGGAAGATGAATCGCGCGCTCGCCGGTACGCTGTCGACGCCCACAAAGAAGACGAAACCCGCGTGGGCCTCTGCCTGGCGGAAGAAAGAAGACAATGGTACCCTAGACATCGCCTTCATCAGCGCCCCAGCGTTCGAGATCAACCTGAAGCGCGAGGATGTAGAGCTAGGCTCTATATCACTGTACGAGCTGGACCGTATAATCGAGGATAAGCGAGAGAAAGACCCCCTAGAGGGCGATAACCAAGAGACCCGAGACCTCATCGCCACGAAGCTTCCAGAGGCGTTGAGGCCCTGGACGGACGTATTTAGCAAGGCAGCCAGCGACACGCTGGCGCCGCACCGCAGCTACGACCACAAGATAGAGCTCGTGGAGGGAGGCCGAGAAAAGCTTACATACCACCCCCTCTACAAGCAATCGGTGCCCGAGCTGGAGGCAACCAGAGCCTACCTTCTGGAGCACCTCCACAAGGGATTCATCGAGCCCGGCAATGCCCCCTTTGCATCGCCAACACTGTTCGTTAAAAAGCACGATGGCAGCCTACGGTTCTGTATCGACTTCAGGAAGCTGAACGAGATCACGAAGAAAGACCGGTACCCTCTGCCTCTGATCGACGAGACGCTGACGCGGCTGAGCCGAGCTAAGGTGTTCACTAAACTCGACATCAGACAAGCCTTCCACCGCATCCGCCTCGACCCTGCTTCAGAGGACCTCACGACGTTCCGTACCCGCTACGGGGCATACAAATGCAAAGTGTTGCCCTTCGGCCTCTGTAATGGGCCAGCTACGTACCAGCGATACATGAACGACGTGCTGATGGAGTATCTGGACGATTTCTGTACTGCATACATGGACGACATCCTGATCTTCTCAGACGACCCCCTACAGCACCACGAGCACGTCACGAAGGTGCTGGACCGCCTACGAAAAGCTGGATTACAGGCCGACATCAAGAAATGCGAATTCAGCGTCACTACCACGAAGTATCTAGGCTTCGTGGTCAGTACTGATGGCATACAACCCGACGAGGACAAAGTCTCTGTCGTGCGGAACTGGAAACCGCCTACGTCACTCAAGGGCATCCAGTCGTTCCTCGGCTTCTGTAATTTCTACAGGAGGTTCATAAAGGACTACGGACGCTTAGCCAGACCACTGACAAAGCTGACCGGTAAGGGCGTACCCTTCCGATTCGACGCCGATTGCGATAGCGCGTTCGAAGCGCTGAAGTTGTCCCTCACGACGGCGCCTATACTCCGCCACTTCAGGCCTGAGCTGCCCACACGCCTAGAGACTGACGCGTCAGACTCGGTGTGCGCCGGCGCCCTGGTCCAACAACAGGCAGACGATGGCCTGTGGCACCCAGTAGCGTTCTGCTCGAAGACGATGAACGGCGCAGAACTCAACTACGCTATACACGACAAGGAGATGCTGGCGATAGTTGTCTGCCTGGAAGAATGGCGCGCTGAGCTCGTCAGCTGCCACCAAAAGTTCGACATTATCACAGACCACCAGCCGCTTCTATTCTTTATGACGAAGCGCCTACTTAACCTGCGACAGGCCCGCTGGGCTGGCGCCCTGGCCGACTTCAACTTTCAGATCCAGTATCGCCCAGGGCGGGAAAATGTGCTCGCCGACGCACTGTCGAGGAAGAACGAGGATATCAGGACCCAACAGGCACTGAAAGAGGCCAACCGGACCCAGGTCCTGCTGCCGCCAGAGCTGCTGTCGCCGGACATCGCCGCCGAGCTGCGAGCACTGTTGGAAAACGCGGCGCAGCAGCCCGAGCTCGCCGTTGGGTCCCTCACGCCGGAAGAAGAGCTCCAGGGGTACCTACTGGTCGAGAAGGTGCTGAGGCTCAACCGCGACCCCGCGACAGCGTCGCTGGCACCAATGCGGACGCTGGCAGCCGAAGGTCGCGAGCGCTGGAAGATCCAAGACGACGGATTACTTACGATGGGCGGCAAGCTCGTCGTACCCGAAGAGGACAACTTACGCACTATGGTGATCCGCGAGGCCCACGAACAGAAGCTCCTCGCGCACCCAGGGCGTAACAAGGTGGTTAAGATGATTAAGCAACGGTACCACTGGCCTGGTCTCACGGCGGATGTGTACCAGTACGTCAGAAACTGCCATACGTGCCGTCGCTCTCAGAAACCCCGCGACAGGCCCCCGGGGGAGCTGAGGCCTCTGCCTATACCCGACCACCCGTGGCAGCACATCTCGATGGATTTTATGACGGTGCCCCCCGACCAAAAGGGCTACGATACGATATACGTAGTGGTCGATAGGCTGGGCAAAAGAGCAATCTCAGTGCCCTGCCACAAGACCACTACGGCGCGAGACATGAGCCGAATGTTCTACGAGCGGGTGCTGCCAATCTTCGGGCTGCCCGAGACCATTACCTCTGACCGCGGCCCCCAATTCATATCGGACTTCTGGGGAGAGCTCTGTACGCTCTGCGGCGTCAAGCTACAATTGTCAACAGCAGACCACCCGCAGACAGACGGTCAGACCGAGATCCTGAACCAGTACATCCTCCAGCGGCTGCGGCCCCTGGTTAACCACTACCAGGACAACTGGAGCGACATGCTGCCTGCGGTAGACTTCGCCCACGCGGCCCAACCCAGCGAGACCACTGGGCTGTCACCCTTCGAGGTCGAATTCGGCCGCCAGCCTCGACTGTCTTTTGACTGGGCCGCCAGGACCCGACGCTTCAACTCGACTAGAGAGAAGCTCAACCGCACCGAGGCTCAGCGGATGGCCCAGGGCATCCACGAGGCCTGGGAGATCGCCAGGGGTAACATGGAGGTCGCCCAAGCAAGACACCGGAAGTACGCCAACCGCCGCCGACGGCCCGACGACCTGAAGGTCGGCGACAAGGTCTTTGTGGACGTATCCCACTGGAAGACTGACAACGCCAATAAGCTGCAGCAGCCCTGGGCTGGCCCGTGGCCCATCACGGGTGCCGGCCTGGGCGGTACATGGATCGTGGAGCTGCCCGCGGGGAGCAAAGCCCACCCGGTCTTCCACCCGAGCAAGTTACGGAAGGCCGCAGAGGACCCCCTACCCGGACAGCACCAGGACCCCCCGCCGCCGGTCCACTACGGCACTGATGAACCTGAGTACGAGGTCTCACGGCTGCTTCGATCACGGGTATGGCGCGGCAAGCTACAGTATCAGGCCGATTGGAAGGGGTACGACGATGACCCGACGTGGTACGACGCAGAGAGCTTCCGCCACGCTCCTACGGCACTGCAGGCCTTCCACAAACAACACCCTACGGCCGCGGGACCGCCGCGGAACCTCTCGTCGTGGATGGAAGCAGCGGCCAGCGACAGCCCAGCCCTGCCACAGGCCGACGACAACGCTGTGGCAGCCCTCACTGTGATGAATTTGTCGGTAAACACAAACGACTGAGGGACCTACCAAACTTCCTTCCCTCATAGCTCCGTCAGAAAAGCCACCGCCAACGAATTTGAGACCACCATTCGGAAGCTGATTTTTCGCTCTATAATACCACATATTCCGCTGACGATTCGACCGGTCCCGGAATTAATAAAGAATTTTTCTATCCCAGCAGTCAACCATGGCCACCGCGGCCCACCTCGATCCGCTGTCATCAGCGTCAGACATGTCCGACCGCCTCAAAGCCCTCCAGCGCGACGGAGGCCCCTATGTCCACCACCAGGAGGTATCATTCGCCAACGGCAAGATCCGCGATTCGTACCGCAACTACCTGGTCGACGTCGACGACCGCGATATCCTCGTCACCTTCCTCCGAGCCTCGACTACCAACAACTGCAAGATTGCGCTGTTCAGCGCCCCGTCTGAGAACTGGGTTGGAAAGGAGGATCCGGAAGATGACGGCCAGAAGGGCATAGTGGAGGATTGGCACGCCTGGGCCGCGATGATGGTCAAAGACGCCCAGCGAGGCCAGCACCTCCTCATCTACGATAGCGATGCGAAAGACGTCGACGACGATACCCGGATTACCGACGCCCTGCGAGGCCTACAGCGCACCCTCTGGAAGCAGGCCTCAGCCCGCGGCAGCTTCACTGTCTGGTACTCGACGGACCAAACCCACGCCGGCACCGACCTCTGCCTCACCAACGCCTACGAGAAGGTCAAATATTGGGCCTCGCTGGCCGACGACAGGATGGAGGAAGGCGACGGACGCTTGGCGGGATTCCAGCGGCTTACGAAGAGATAATTCGGAGGATTTGGGTGGATAATTGAGCGCTGCGGACAGCGCCTCTCGCGCCGGGAGGGGGGGGTGATGTCACGGCACTGGGCGCTAGGCCCCTGTGCGCTCGAGCCTCAGGCACCGAGCGGACCCCCTACGGGTCACGTGACCACTGGACCGCTGAGCCCAAAAGCCCAGCGCCCCAGATTCCGCCCACTGGTCTACTTTTTCCCTCTTCACGTTGAGTTACGTCTATTAGGTCAATATAGCAGCGTTTCGACCTGCCTCGAGTTCCCTTTCGTGACACTATAACTCGTTAACTCCTAGGGTTTTTAAATAATTAGAAGTTTAATTTTATAAATTTATTTACTTATTCTACCTTTATAAATCGCTCAGGCAGTTCTTAATATTAATTATATAATATTAATACATAATATCAATAAATAAATACTCTTACTATCTCGTTAAACTATTTTTTAATTTTTTTACTTTTTAACTTTTTTTATAAAGTTTATAGCTATAAACTAATAGTAATATTAAGTACGTAGTTATATTATAAACCCTTATACCTAGCTAAGTTCGCTACCCTTCTAAATAATAGTAACTTATAATAGTAGTATTAAAATACCCTCGTTATTATTATTAAAAATAATACTAACTATTAATATACATTTCTAACTCCTACTTGCGCATATTTATATTTTTATTTTACCTCTACTAATCGCTTGGGTAGTTCTTAATATTAGTTATATAATAATAATATATAATATTAATAAATACCCTACTATCTTATTAAATTATTTTTATAATTTTCTTCTATCTTTTAATTCTCCTCTTATAAAGTTTATAACTATAAATTAATAGCAATATTAAGCGCTTAATATTATTACTTTATAAACTTATTATATACCTAGCTAAGTTCGTAGCTTTTTAAATAATAATAGCTTATAATAGTATTTAGTAATACTAAAAATACCTTTATTATTATTATTAATAATAATACTAACCTTATTAATATACGTTTCTAACTCCTACTTATATATATATATACTATATATTCGTTATTTTATTTCTTTTATTAATATTAAAAACTATTATAAGCTATTATTACTAATTCCTCTACTTAAATATATATAATTAATAATTAAAATATTAAAATAAATTATTATTAACCTATAATATTACTTCTATAATAAGAGGTTTAATCTTAAGATTATAATACTAATTAATACCGCTTTTTAAAAAAGAATCCGTAAATATAGCCTCAAATAACTAAACTTAAAAAAACTTATAATAATTAAAAAGAGTAAATCGGTATTATATTATTAACGTATTAGTTTTATAAAAAGAACTTTAATATTAATATTAATATTAAATAAAAATCGATTTTTAATATAGTTAAGAAATTATATAATTAAGCTTAGGCTAAGGAATAGTTATTTTAAAAAATTAGAGAATTTATAAAAGATAAATTTAAAGGGTAGTTTTAGTTATTTAAAAAGTAATTAATATAGTTTAATATATTTATTAGTATTTTAAGTTCGATTAATATTAGTAATTATAGCTAGCTATTATTAATTATAAAGTTTATTAAGTAATATACGTAATAAAAACTCGACATTAACCCTAATAAGACTAGCTTACTTATAAAGGTAAAGTTAGCCCCTAATAAAGCGGGATGACCCTAAAGGGCTACTCGCGCAGATTAATTATATATTTACTACCTTATTTCTTTTATTAAAATAAAAATCGCTATTATAAACTATTATTACTAATTCTTTTATTTAAATATATATAATTAATACTCGAAATACTAAGATAAGCTATTATTAATTTATAATACTACTTTTATAATAAAAGTTCGACCTTAAGGCTATAATACTAATTAGTACTACTTTTTAAAAGAATTTTTATAAATATAGCTTTAAATAACTAAATTTTAAAAACCTAAATAATTAAGAAAAAGTAAATTAGTATTATTATTATTAAAATATTAATTTTATAAAAGAGCTTTAATATTAATATTAAAATAAAAATCAATTCTTTAATATAATTAAAAACTATATAATTAAGTTAAGGAGTAAGTATTTAAATAGGTTAGAGGATTTAAAAAAATTTAAAGCGTAGTTTTTAGTTATATAAAAGGTAATTATTACCGTTAATCCGTAATTATAAACTTTATAAGAGGAAAGTTAAAAATAAAAGAAAATTATAACAAATAATCTAACGAGATAATAAGAGTATTTACTAATACTATATATTAATACTATATAATTAATATTAAGAACTACCTGAGCAATTTATCAAAATAATAAAAAAACAAAAAATAATTAATATAATTTAATATATTTATTAATACGAATTAATATAGTAATTATAGCTATTTATTATTAGTTATAAAGTTTATTAAATAATATATATAATAAAAACTTAATATTAACCCTCGTAAACTAGCTTACTTATAGGGCGAAAATAGCCCTTAATAAGGCGGGCCGACCCTAAAAGGTTAATTTTATAAATATTATATTAAAAAACCCCGAATTATAATAAGGTTATTTTAAAAAATACGGATTAAATATTATTAATTTAAAAATCTAAAATAAGTATATTAATATAAGTATTACTATATTACCGTTAATCCGTGGTTATGAACTTTGTAAAAGGAAAGTTAAAAGGTAGAAAAACTATAAAAATAGTCTAACGAGATAGTAAGAGTATTTACTAATATTATATATTAATACTATATAACCGATATCGAGAACTGCCCGAGCGATTTGCAAAAGTAGAATATAAAATAAATAAGTATTATTATTATTAATACTTAACTTCTATAATATTAATATAGCCCTAAAATACTTAATTAGTTTTAAAGTATAATTAATACCCTAAGCTCGTAATAATAAAATTAAAAACTTAGAAAAACTAAAAAAACTTAGAATTATTAAAAAAGTAAAATATAAGAGGTAGTTTTTAATTATTTAAAACGTGATTAATATATTATATTATTAATAATAATTAAGCTATATTAGTATTAATAATTATAATTAGTTATTATTAATTATAAAGTTTATTAAGTAATATATATAATAAAAACTCGATATTAACTTTTATAAACTAGCTTATTTATAGGGTGAAGTTGGCTCCTAATAAAGCGGGCCGGATTTTAAAGGGATTTTAAAAGTTATATAATATAATACCCGGGCGGGTAAATAGTAAGTTAATTACTTAGTTATTATAGTAATATTATTAAAGTTAGAGCTATTTAAAATTATATTACTATAACTTTTAAACTTTTTAGTTTTTATTATACTAAATCCCTTTAGGGTTCGGCCCGCCTCATTAGGGGCCTTCTTTGCTTTTACGAGCAAGCTAGTCTTATTAGGGTTAATATTAAGTTTTTATTACGTATTTTATAACTAACTATAACTAGCCATAGTTATTATACTAACTTAACTTAGTAAATATATCAAACTATACTAATTATTTTCTAAATAATTAAAAACTATTCCCTAAATTTATCCCTTTATAAACTTTTTAACCTTTTTAAATAACTACTTTTAACCTAGGCTTAGTTATATAATTCTTAATCATATTAAAAGTCGATTTTTATTTTAATATTAATAATATTAAAGCTTTTTATAAAATTAATACTTTAATAATAATAATACTAATCTACTTTTTTTAATTATTATAAGTTTTTTTAAATTTAGTTATTTAAGGCCGTACTTATAAATTTTTTTAAAAAGTAATATTAATTAGTATTATAGCCTTAGGTTAAACCTCTTATTATAGGTAGCGCTATAAGTTAATAGCTTATTTTAATATTTTAAATATTAATCGTATATATTTAAAAGAATTACTAATAATAACTTATAATAGCGATTTTCAATTTTAATAAAAACGAGGTAATAAATATATAATACGTATATATAAATTAAAATTAGAAATAGAAATATATTAAATATTAATAAGGGTAGTATTATTCTTAGCGATAGTAATAAAGGTATTTTTAATATTATTATTATAAGCTATTATTATTTAAAGGGCCGCAAACTTAGCTAAGTAGGCGGTTTATAATAGTAATATTAAGCGCTTAATATTACTATTAATAATCTATAATTATAAACTTTATAAAAGGAAAGCTAAATAAGTAAAAGAAAATTAAAAATAGTTTAATAAGATGATAGGAGTATTTATTAATACTATATATTAATATTAATATAATTAATATTAA